TGACACAAACGACGTCTGCCCACTCCTGGCGAGGAATGGGGGTATTGACGGTATGTGTGCCCAACTGCGACGCCCTGTCGACAGCAGGCAAGCGCCGATGGATCTGCTCTTGCTGTGTGGCACACATCGCCTCTCGCTCTGCGGCGCTTCAACGGTCTCGCTGTGCGGCGAGCCATAGTCTATCGGCGCGGACGCGCCTAGCTTGGTTTGTGGCGCACCATCGATCATGTTGTGTGGTGAGCTGCAGTCTCTCGACGCTGACATGCTTATCTTGATCCCTAGCGCTGAAGCGCTAAAGCGCCAAGGGTCTGCTCAACCCTGATACGTCTCCAGCGTATCTATAATTTTTGCTTGTTCCATGTTGTTATACGATCAATCTTGGATGTTTTACAATCATTTTATAGCAATTTTATGTCATTTTTTGGGACTAACCTATTGACATAGTGCCCAGTGTCAGTTGATGTTTTTTGCTTGTTTTTCCCTTCACAAAAAATCAGTACCAAACGGAGTCCAAACGTAGCGAAACTTTTTGGTGATTTTTTCTGGACCAGAAGACAACCAATGGGCCAAAGATATACGAGAGGGGAGGCCCAAGGTGGGCACAACCCACCAGGGCGCGCCCAGGGGGTTGTGCCCCCCTCGGTGACCTCCCGCACCACCTCTTCGCCCTATAAATTCCCAAGTATTCCAAAAACCCTAGGGGAGTCGATGGATCATAAGTTCCGCCGCCGAAGGCCTCTGTAGGCATGAAAAACCAATCTAGACCTTGTTATGGCACCCTACCGGAGGGGGAAATCATCACCGGTGGCCATCTTCATCATCCCAGCGGCCACCATGATGAGGAGGGAGTAGTTCACCCTCGGGGTTGAGGGTTTGTACCAATAGCTATGTGTTTATTCTCTCTCTCTCTCTCTCGTGTTCTTGAGATGGCACGATCTTGATGTATCGTGGGCTTTGTTGATATAGTTGGATCATATGGTGTTTTTCCCTCTCTATCTTGTTGTGATGAATTAAGTTTTCCCTTTGAGATTTCATTCTTATCGGATTGAATACTTTTATGGATTTGAGAACACTTGATGTATGTTTTTCTATGAATACCCGTGGTGATAATGATGTATCGTATTGATTTACTTGATATACGTTTTGGCACTCAACTCGCGGATTCCCGAGGTGACATTAGGGTAATCTATGCATAGGGGTTGATGCACGTTTTTGTCTTTGTTTCTCTGGTAGAAATCTTGGGGCACTCTTTGAGGTTCTTTGTGTTGGATTGGGTATTATGAATCTGAATTTGTTTTGGTGTTATTTTAGTACGAACTCTTGATAGATTGATCAGAAAGAATAACTTGGTGTTATTTTAGTACGAACTCTTGATAGATCAGTCAGAAACAATAACTTGGTATTATTTTAGTACGAACTCTTGGATAGATCGATCGGAAAGAACAACTACAAACAATTTATTCTTATGTTCTCCACTAGATAGGAACTTTGGAGTGATTCTTTACCGCACGTTGAGGGATGGTTATGTGATCTAATTATATTAGCATTGTTGAGAGATTGCACCAGTGAAAGTATGGACCCTAGGCCTCATTTTCAAGCATTGCAATACCATTTGTGCTCACTTTTGTTACTCATTACCTTGCTATTTTTTATTGTTGCTATTACAAAAATCAATATCTACTATCGTTACTACACTTGTATCACCATCTCTTCGCCGAACTAGTGCACCTATACAATTTACCATTGTATTTGGTGTGTTGGGGACACAAGAGACTTTTTATTATTTGGTTGCAGGGTTGTTTGAGAGAGACCATCTTCATCCTACACCTCCCACAGATTGATAAACCTTAGGTCATCCACTTGAGGGAAATTTGCTTCTAAGAGTATAGCAGCGGAAAGTAAGACATTGCACATGTAAATAAAGGAGGAGTTTGGAGAAGGCAAACGTAACGGGGACACGAGGATTTTTGGCATGCTTCCAATAGGTGGTGCTTTCATACGTCCACGTTGATGGAGATGTCAACCCACGAAGGGTAACGGCTGTGCGAGTCCATAGAGGGCTCCACCCACGAAGGGTCCGTGAAGCAGCAACCTTGTCTATCCCACCATGGCTATCGTCCATGAAGGACTTACCTCACTCGGGTAGATCTTCACAAAGTAGGTGATCTCCTTGCCCTTACAAACTTCTTGGTTCAACTCCACATCATGTCAGAGGCTCCCAAGCGACACCTAACCAATCTAGAAGACACCACTCTCCAAAAGGTAATGGATGGTGTATTGATGATGAACTCCTTGCTCTTGTGCTTCAAATGATAGTCTCTCCAACACTCAACTCTCTCACACAGTTTTGGCTATGGTGGAAAAAGGATTTGAGTGGAAATCAACTTGGAGAAGGCTAGAAATCAAGATTCAAATGGTAGAATTCGAATCTCTTGATCTCAACACATGAGTAGGTGGTTTTATCTCAAAAAATGAATGGTGGAAGTGTGGCTTTGTTCTGATGACTCTCATACTGAGTAAGAGGGGATGGATGGGTATATAATATATATAGCCTCCACACAAAATCCAACCGTTACACACATTTGACCAAACTCGGTGGCACTCACTGGAATTCCCGGTGAGACCGACCTGTGCAAAAGATATGAATGTTGGAGGTCTCGGTGGGACCGAAGTGCAATGGCAAAGGCAGAACCGCGTTTCGGTGATTCTGATCAGTTTCATTCGTGATTCCGAGATGAAGTGATTTCATCACAGAAACTTGGCACGGCCATCTCGGTGGGACCAAGAGCCGTTTCAGTCAGACCGAAATGTTAGGGTTTGGCCGTGGCAGTGTCTAGATGAACTCGATGGGTCCGGATAGATAGAATTTGGTGGGACCGAGTTAGCTTGAAAGGGTTTTGGACGCATTTGGATAAAGAAAGTGGTTGAGGGTTTTGGAGCAATATCACTAAGCACTTGAGCAACCAGATGATTATCTACACCTCATCCCCTTTTAATAGTATTGGACTCAATGTGATCTTGGATCACTTAACCAAAAATGAAAAGTCTCGAGCTTTTGCCAATTCATGTCCTTAGCATTTTGAGGGGTCCACATTCCCTAGTCCTTGCGATGCCAATCAATGAACGCCTTGAAATCTTTAACTTGAATGATATTAGTTCAATGAGATATATGTTGTTATTAATTACCAAAACCACCCCGGGATTAGTTGCACTTTCAGTCGCGTACTATAATTTCACTATGAGGACCATGCTAATAATTAGACTAAGGCTTCTGCAATATCCAATCTCCGGCTACATCCATGTTGCTAGCAAACCAAATTTCCCTTTCCTTTAGCATGTATGTAGGAACATGAAAGATTGGGATCAAATTATGTGCCCCTTTCCTAGCGCACATGCACCTTGTTGTATTTTCTTTAATAATGACATAAATTACACGAAAGTGTGCGTGTAAAATCGATAAATATAAAATACTTGTTACTATGGTAATACAAACATCAGTACTGCTTAGTACACTACTAACATAGAGTAGTAGTATCCGATATGGCGAGAAAATACAGACCCTCCTTGAATGCCGATGTATCTCACTGTCAAGTCAACTGGTTGAAAGTCAGTACTCCCATTAATCCGCTCAACACTCTCGTAGCCGCTCACGGCTCCTCGTCTTTTCTCACTCAAAAACCCCTCTTCAACTATGTTTGAATCACTCATCTTCACACATACTCATTTCATATCACATCCTTTGTAACAATCTTGCCTTTTTCACTAAAAGACATCGTAGCCATGTGAAAAATGCCGCCCTTCGATACATCGAGTTTCTATATCGCTCTACCTCCAATAAAAAACTTGAGGCATTTACAAAACACCTCCACCTCCTCCTAAAAAACCTTAGAGTTCCATATGCGGGTGGGTGCGGCCCTACACAAACATCAATAGCACCGGCTTTATAAAGTTCGTATCCCCCTTCATAGTTCTTCCCAAGCAAAGATGAAGGTAAGATTTAAACAACCATGTACAACATCAAATGTGACACCTCAGGAAGTTACAACCCAATTATGAAGGATATCAAACGTGTAATATATCCCTATTTTGCTCTCAGGGTCTTAACTACCACTGCTTAACTTTCAATTTGACAGGGTGGTCGAATTTGTGTCCACGTCAAACGCTCGTTTCACTCAAATTGACGTGTAGTTAAGAGAAGAGTACACATTATTTAGAAAAGAGTAGTGTGAGTGATGCATCAGGAAAGTCTATACACGTTGATGTCGTATCCATGCAAACAACGTATCCCTTAAGGGGCAAATTTGCCAAGCTACCCAACTACCCTCCTCCACAACAAGGTGGTTACTTGGGATGCGAGTCCAAAACCATATGCAATCCAAAATGAGATAAAAAAAGACAAGTTGTTGTCCTTCTATATAAAGTACTCATTTCATCCTACTCCCTCCGTTCGGAATTACTTGTCGCACAAATGGATGTATGTAGATGTATTTTAGTTTTAGATACATCTATATCCGAGACAAGTAATTCCGAACGGAGGGAGTATAATATAAGACTTTTCTTACATGTTTGCATGCCCATGAAGTAAGAATTTTTTGAGAAATTTAAGAACGAAAATATTGATGGTGTACAGGGAGAAGGAATGAAATCTTTGTTTTTTAGGATGAGAATGAGAAAGTATGAATCACAAACCAAAGTTGTGGACTCATCAATCGAAACTGACTGCAGCCATCCGATCAGCATCCAAAGGCGAGGATAAGGGCCACGCTGCATATTTTGCAAAAACACTCTCTTCCCCAGCCTGCCCGCCCCCATCCGATCCCCCAATCCCTTTTCTCACTCCGATACGGGCGGGGCCCAAACCCTAGGTCGCCGGCTCCTCCCGAAGCGAGTCTAGCTGATCCGTTTGTTCTGCACAAGCTCTGCCGTGTTTCGCCGCTGTTTCCTCTTTAGAGGAAGAAGAAGAAGAAAGAGAGGGATCTGGTCGACTGCCGTCGTCGGCGATGGGCGACGGCCGCGGCGGAGGGTCAAACCGCCCCGCGTGGCTGCAGCAGTACGAGCTGGTGGGTAAGATCGGCGAGGGCACCTACGGCCTCGTTTTCCTCGCGCGCCTCAAGCCAACGCATCCCCAGGCTGCTGGCCGCCGCGGCTCCCCCATCGCCATCAAGAAGTTCAAGCAATCCAAGGAGGGCGATGGCGTCTCGCCTACCGCCATCAGAGAGATCATGGTAACTCATCGCCGCCGCCGGTTGCTTCATTCCTTCGTGGCGTTCCAGACCCTGGCTATATAGGACTGTAATCTCTCTCCCTGCGCTTGCCCTTTGATTGCAGCTCCTGCGCGAGATCAACCACGAAAATGTCGTCAAGCTCGTCAACGTCCACATCAACCACGCCGACATGTCCCTCTATCTCGCCTTCGATTACGCCGAGCATGACCTCTATGTATGCAACTCCCGTCCCCTGCTTATATGTGCCTTTTTCATTCCTGTCGACCTCTTAGTATGAAATTCAAATCCAACTCTCTCTACGGAATAGTTAATTAACGAAGCACTGCTCTATCCGCAGGAGGTTATTCGGCATCACAGAGAGAAGCTTAACCTCTCCATTAACCAATACACAGTTAAATCCTTGCTCTGGCAACTGCTCAATGGCCTCAACTATCTCCATAGGTATGTCTATATATATATTTTCTATTAACAAGTCGACAAGCATGATTCTCCACAAGCTGTGATGTCTTCACTGTAAATATATGCAATGTTTATCTGGGTCAATCCTATCAAAATCTGATCTATCCTACCTGTCTCCCCTCCTGCAGTAACTGGATTATCCATCGAGACCTCAAGCCTTCTAATATACTGGTATGCTGCTTCATGCCTCACGCTGATACGCAAATCTGTCCAGTATTGTCTCTTTTGCTTGCTAAGCATGCTGCAATGGTGTGCCCCAGTAGGTCATGGGAGAAGGAGAAGAACATGGAATTATAAAGATTGCTGATTTTGGGCTGGCTAGGATATATCAAGCTCCACTAAAACCACTAAGTGACAATGGGGTGAGTAGCTCTATCTACATTCCTATTTCTAGTAATATGAGGGAACCAAAGGATGGTACTTTGGTAATGGAATGTAGTCATTCACTCATTCCGCCAAGTTACCACTGGTATTCTCAGGTTCCCACTATTCTTATAGTCTCAAAGCTTATAATTGGCAATTGCATGCAAATATATTATCACACAGTGCACCGATTTTGAATGTTTGAGTTCAAGTATCTGAATGCAATCTTGGCCGTTGATTGGAGTCCATTGGCGGCCTAGGAGGATCCACATTAAATCCCATAATATACCCTCTTAAACCTTCTAAATTTAACTCTAATTGTACATTAATTACGGCACGTAGTAGTATTATTTTGCACAACACTGCTTCATGAATACTGAGGTGGTATGGTAGATTTCTGCAGTACTTTTGACACTGTGCAATGTATTATGCTAATTCCCTGATTTGAAATAAATTTCAGGTTGTTGTAACTATCTGGTATCGTGCACCTGAGCTGTTACTTGGAGCTAAACACTACACAAGTGCTGTTGGTATCCTTGTAGGGAGAGAAAAGCAGATCCTTTTACTATCTATTTTTCTTCATTAATTCTGTTATTCTCTTAACCATCTCCAGACATGTGGGCAGTTGGTTGCATTTTTGCCGAATTGCTTACACTGAAACCACTGTTCCAAGGTGTTGAAGCAAAAGCTACTCCAAACCCTTTTCAAGTATGGGCAGTTGCACTCAGTTAGTTAGTGTTGCCATCTTGTTTTTAGATTACATCACTAGACTAAAGTTGTTATATTTTACATGATGATCATGTCTCAAGTAATTTTCCTCCGTTATGCGATTGGTATATCTCACAGTTGATTTACACGTCTTGTAGCTCGATCAACTGGACAAGATTTTTAAGGTCTTAGGTATGTATTCCTTGTTTTTGCTTGTCTTGTTTGATTTGTCATGCTCATCAGAAATATACTCACGATAATAACCCAACTCTTCTGAAGGTCATCCTACGGTCGAGAAGTGGCCTACCCTTGCAAATCTTCCATGCTGGCAAAATGACCAGCAACACATTCAGGGGCATAAGTAGTATGTTGGACATTGTTGAGCTGCTCTAAGAAGGCTTAAATATCTCTTTTATTATTATTTAACTTAATATACTGTCATATTTCCCTTGCAGTGAGAACACAGGTCTTCATACTATTGTTCACTTGCCGCAGAAGGGTCCTGCATTTGACCTTCTCTCGAGAATGCTTGAGTATGTCTCTTGCTCTCTAGTTTGTTGGAGTCAACATTACGTTGGTTGATGAACATATTTTTTGTTCTTTTTTGTACTATTATGTGTTGGTTTATCATCCTAGTATTCCTCATGTTTCAGGTATGACCCTCGAAAGCGTATTACAGCTGCACAAGCTTTGGAGCATGAGTAAATAATTAATACCTTCACCTATTCTTTTCCCCCTTTCGCGTGTTTGGATGCTTCTGTTTCCATATCTGTATAACTATTAACTAGTTCTTAGCTGATGCATACCTTAAATGTCCGCCCCTATTAACTTTAAAAAATAGCCTTCCGACAAACGCCCCATATTAAGATAACACATGCTAGCCCTTCCGCCAAAATGAAGCACTTAATTAAGTGCCTTCCGCCAACATGGAGCAAGCCATTTAGTGGCTTCCGCATAAGATGCTACCCTTCCGCCAAAACATGCTATTTAGCACTTAATTACTAGTTAAAACATGCTAGCCATTTAGTGGCTTCCGCCGAAGATGCTACCCTTCCGCCAAATATGTTAATTAGTGCCACTTAATTAGTGCTTCCGTCAAACATGCTAGCAGCTTCCGCCAAACTCCTTCACCTTCCGCCAAACAGGAAAAAATTAGCAGCGGCCTTCCGCCATCCGGACGGAGAGGAGGGATACATGGTGGCTTTTGATTGGCCAGATGGATTTCCGGACTCCCGCAAAGCTCCCCCAGGTTTGCTACCAGTTTGCCGGAATTCAGACATCCGGACGCGTCCGCGGACGTTTGAGGGATAGCACTGGATGGCAAGTGTCCGGACTCCCGCAAAGGACATATACGGATGATTTGAGGGTCCACGTTGGAGATACCCTTAGAAGCAGTCTGGAATTATTCTTGGAATCATGTCTATGTTTTAACCTCGAAGTTTCCTTTATTCACATATAAAATGGTTTTAAAACAAGGGGCTGCCTTCTGATTTCCGTTATTACAAACAATTAGGAGTTCGTTACAGCAGGAAAAAAACAAAACAGAACAGAATTCGTGTTATTTCCTATTAGAAGAATGCCGAAATGGATCACAAGCATAAAGCAAAAGCGGCCAAAACCTGGAACCAAAGGTTCTTCCGGTAGGATTGATCTGTACCTAATGTTGTCATTGCTAATTACACATAACTTTTAACCATTGAAACAATGCCGATTTGAGATAAACTCATGTCCTAATGCTGTAGAATATTTTAAATATACAGGGAACACGACAAAATCATAGTTGTAATGCGGCGATATTGGCGATTACAGTTTAATATGTCAACTCTTCTGATATTGGGGAATAAAGTTTGATATATCAACTCTTCTGAATACATCCACCTCTTTGCTAGGTACTTCCGGATGGACCCGCTACCTGGACGAAAGTAAGTTATGTATGAATAGAGTCTCAACTGCCTCTACTTTAGAAAGTGATGGTTTTTCTTGTCGCTGTGCCTAAAATGTCTCTCTGGTCAGTGCACTTGTACCATCTCAGCCAGGCGAGAAAATTGTGACATATCCTGTTCGTCCAGTAGATACCTCAACAGATTTTGAAGGAACAACAAGCCTTCAACCAACTCAACCGGTAATAGAAGCTTTGTCTCTGCCTAAATCTTAATTTTCCAATCTGTGACCTGATTAGTGGAAAGCTTTTTTTGATAGAGAAGAGCTTAGTGGAAATCTTTTTTTAGAGAAGATTAGTGGAAAGCTTGTGCAATGAATGTGCTTCTTATGGAGATTTAGATTTCTTCCTTGTAGCAAAATCATCTTCCAATGGCGCAGACCATATTTAATCAGTCAGTCGAGTTAGATGTAGGCATCGCAAGGCTTGTTTCTTGTTTAATTTCCTCAGAAGATTTGTTTCAGTCCCACTTTGAGTGAACCAAAGAATTCTTAAGAACTGCCGTGCTATGATCTGTAATAACATGATGCATTCATGTTTCAGCCATCGGGAAATGGACCTCCAGGAGGCCAGCCTGTACCAAGACAAATCCCAAGGCAAATGCAACAGCCTATGGGTGGTATGCAAAGAATGCCTCCTGGTGCAAACATGGGTGCCTTTGGCGCAGCACCCCAAGCAGGCATGGTTGGGATGAATCCCGGTAACATTCCAATGCAGAGAGGCGCAGGTGGCCAGTCTCATCCACACCAGGTTTGTTGTATATTTTAATTATGTTATGTTCCTAGCTACTGTTGTTTGAATAACGCTTGTGACGATCAGTAAGCCGTTTGATTTTCTTGGCGTTGACAGTTGAGAAGGAAGGCTGATCAAGGGATGGGGATGCAGAACCCTGGGTACCCTCAGCAGAAGAGGCGCTTCTGACATCCTCCCTCCTAGGCACCGACTGATATAAATGTACTCATGGCATCATCATGTATGTACATCTTCCAGATAGATATGCATCGTCTGGTGGCCATGTAAGCTTGTTGTTGTAGATTTATAGTGCTTATCTGCTAGCTTGGTAAGTTAAAGTAGCTGTAAGGGTCATTGTAGAGGAAATTTGGATGATTGCCTTTTACAGCTACTGCGCTAAGCTGCTCTATGCAGAATATTGACATTCTGAATTCTGAATATACAAGACAAGCTGGTAGACATGCTAGTTTCATTCTTCTGCTCATGTTGGAAGATGAGTGGTTTGGCAAAAAGTCAGTTTGGAGGACGAGCTCCAGTGAGCCCTATATTTTGAATAGTGCCAAAATAATATTGAGGTTTCAGAAAATTCTGAAAAAATTCAACATGTTTATATGGATGCATTGTTTTGGGAATTATGATGCATTGTTTTGGGAATTATGATGCATTCTTTTGGGAATTATGTATGTAAAGCACAAAGAAATTAGTGAGAATTGAGGGTCAAGATGTGATTACTTAAACATCTCCTCGAACTCCCACCCGCCCTTGTTATCTCTTCAGTTTTTCTTAGTTTTTTTTTGAGAATAGTTATCTCTTCACTAAGGGCAACTCCAACGAGGGTCACCAAAATGGGCCTCACAAAAGTATGCAAACATCTCCACGGACAGATATAGCAGAAGAGTCCATTCAATCACAGGCATCAAATGCTGGTCCCATTTCAAACGAATCTTAAAAAAGAGAGACGAAATTCACACTGAACTAGACGATATTTGTCAAATTTTGATATATATTATTACCCTTGCGGCCCACCCCTTGGTCGCGAGCCAGGGCCACATGGACTCCATGAGATCCCCTCTCATGGCTGCAATACTTTATGAAATTTCCTGGATTTGAAAGTTACAGACGTATTTTATTTGATTTGTTTTGATAAAAAACTGATTTTTCTGAAAACTCTAAAAAATAGCAGAATACAGCAACTAGATTTTTTTTTTGAATTGAGGGGCATGCCCCCGATTTCATTTCATTGCATGAAAGGAAACCAATAAAACAGATCAAGTATTCTTTAGATTTCATCCAGCCCCCAGATGTCCTACCATGACATCCAGGCATCAGCAACTAGACAACCAAGAGAATAAAGCTTGCAACTAAGAAAAACTCAACACTTATCACAAATGCATACCCAGGTGAGAGGTAACCACACAGGGCTCCTCTCCCCCCCTCATCACCACATATTCTCCAGGGGGGACAGAAATTCAACTAACATTACAGACATAATTACTCCCTGATGTCAAGACGTTTCACCATGGGCGCCCATCCTCTGCTCTTGTTGAAGAAACCGTTCGCAACATCAACCAGCAGTGCTGCGACGGCCCGCAACATCTGTTGCCCTTCTTTTCTCTGTAGACCAGCCCAGTAAGACATCCAATAAGATATTTGAAAGAACAACACACTAGGGTCATGAGGGTAAACATGATGAAATGTAGCAGCATTTCTGACTTTCCACAAAGTCCAAAACACCGCAGAAACACCCACTGCTATTGTTTGCCTAATATTCTTAGGAAATTTTTCTACCCAGACAGTAAACTCTTCTATCTTGCATGGAATATCATGAATTCCAGTTACATTCCTAACCACACCCCACACAAACTTAGCCACCACACATTTACAGAAAAGATGATCAACCGTTTCTGGATAATCACAGAAACTACAATTTTTATCCTTTCCTTTCCAGTTTCTTTTCGCCAAATTGTCTCTAGTTAGGACACTATTCTTAAACATCAACCACAAGAAAACTTTAACTTTCAACGGTATCCTTGCCTGCCACAATTTCCTATGAGGCCAGGCAGCCTGATCCGTTTTTAAAGCAAGATACAAAGATCTAACTGTGAATCTACCAGATTTAGTTAGCAGCCAGCTACATCTATCCTCTTGATCATTTAAAACTACTTTACTGCATAGATTTTTGAGCTCATACCACATATCAGCCGTGTCTCCCCATAAGACTCTTCTAAATCTAATCAAACTCATATTATCAGATAGAGCTTTGGCGACAGTGAAATCTGAACTAGAGGTTAGCAAATAAAGTCTAGGAAACTGCACGCTAAGAGGTTTGTCTCCTAGCCATATATCACTCCAAAACATAGTCCTCTCCCCATTACCCACCATCTTCCTACAATATTGCAGGAAAATTGGTTTAACCTTCATTAGACCCTGCCAGAAATGAGAGTGACCAGGTTTTTTCTTGCTATCTCTAAGGGTACATCTACTTAAGTATTTCTTTCTCACTAGATCTTGCCACACACCATTGCCATTTTCGAGTTTCTAGATCCATTTGCACAGTAAGCAGATGTTCATAATTGTTTATTTGAACAATTGTCTGGCCTTAAAGTTAATTTTCACAAGAGTGAGGTTTTTTGTTTTGGTGAAGCTAAGGACAAACAGGACAATTACTCTACAATATTTACTTGTGCTGTAGGAAAACTTCCTTCTAGATATTTAGGTATGCCTATTAATGCAATTAGATTATGTAATAGTGACTGGAATTGGGCTGAGGAGAAAATGGAGAAGAAGCTAAGTGTGTGGAATGGGAGGTACAGATCGTATGGGGGGAGATTGATTTTAATTACCTCTAGTTTAAGCAATATTCCTTTGTATATGATTTCTCTGTTTGAGCTACCCAAAGGTCCTAGTAAGAAGATGAACTTTTTTATGAAAAGAATGTTATGGCAAGAGGAGGGAGTTAAAAAGTACCATCTAGTGAAATGGGAAGATGTCTGTAGACCTAAAGAGATGGGGGTTTTAGGCGTCTTAGATCTTGACATTATGAACATACAGCAACTAGATGTGGGCATTGAATTAATAGGTTAGTCTAGAAAAATAATACTCCCTCCGTTCCTCAATCTAGTGCGCATAGTTTGCAGCACACGTACCAATGTATGCGCTGGCGGAAGCTTTTGGACGAGAAAGCCCTGAGCCCTCACACGCTTTGTCCCACTCCCAGCCCATGCCATATGTTCCCAAGTAGTACTACAGTACTAGTAGTACTAAGTGGAGAAGAAAGTGGCAGCGTGCCGTTGCTGCGCCGGCGGCGTGCCCTCGTAACTCGCTGGACGCGGAGACGCCGGCCGAGGACGCGGCAACGCCGGCAGCGACGAAGGCATGCTAGCCGGGGACAGAGTTACATCGGAGATGCCGACCGCGGACGTGGGCATGCAGGCCGTGGATGCGGTGACACCGGAGACGCCGACGGTGGACTTGGTGACGCCGGGGTCGTGTCAGGGGGGACGCACGAGGTTAGGACTTGCCAGAAGATCGCGGTGTCAAGCTAGTCAACGAGCAGTCAGAGACGCCGGCGGGAGCCAACCTTCCGTTGTGGTCAACGTGGGCAAAGGGCATGCCTCCTGTGTGTACAGGGCGTCCAGCCAGCCCCTATCGCCGCCATTGTCAGGCGGCTCCCCATCTTCTTGCCCGTGGCACCATACATCATCTTCTTCCTCCATCTTGAACTTCCACCGCCGCTGCTTGAATCCCGCTGGGCCGCTGCAGTCCCGACCACCTGGACGGCCGGCATCGCCTTCTCCTACGGCGGCACAAGCATCCTCCTCTCCACCCCCCGCCTCCTCCGTCCATCACGCCACTGAACGCCGCGGCGGCGCCGCCTCCACCACCTCTGACCTCTTCCCCCGCCACGATCTCTTCAAAGGATAGCAGTCGCGTGCGCTAGGCGAGTAGATCGGCGATGTGGAGTTCAATCGAGATGCATCTGCGGGAGGAGGGGATAAAGCGAACAGAGGAAGGAGCGAGCGGAGGACGAAGCGCGTCCTTGCGGTCTGGGGATAGAATCGTCCAGAATCGCCCACAGGTGCTAATGCGCACTACAAAGTGGAATTTTCGTCAAAATTTTATACGCACTAGATTGAGGAACGGAGGGAGTAAAAGATAATACTAAAGCTATGCAATAATAATATAAAAATAGCATGACACAAGCAAAAAAAAGATACATTTGAGACGTATCATCTATTTAAAACCGGTCATTTTTCACTCAGAGGTGTTAGTGAGATGTAATTTGCGCCAACTTTGCGCTTTTAAGGATTTGTGACGCCTCAAACTCCTTCAATTTACACTGTGGTCCAACGCAGCTTCTTGAAGTTAGCTCCCTGGAGCTAGGGTTCCCGACATGGCTCCGCTTCGTGGAGCACGATGTCGGAGGTCATCCGATTAATATCCGCTCAACTCTCATACCCCTCCTAACCATAGGACGAATCTAAATCTTGATCCCCTAAATTCTCATTCTCTAGTTGTAATTATCCCCAACCAAACAATGTTGTGAACTCATTTGAAATTAAACCATGGATTTAAGGGCATCTTTGTATTCCATGATAGGAAAACCAAATCAATAGAAAATTTAAAGGAGTTAGACATCAAGTCTTGTAGATTCCTAGAGGAATCAGAAGCGCATAAGTTGCAAAAAAGCAACACGCTCGTTCGATGCTCTACATAAATTTTGCTGGAAGAGAGAACATAATGTTTGAGCAAAGCCTTCTAGTCCTAAAAAGTAGGGTTAGGCTAGAGTTAAAATACACAAGATCTTGAAATCAAGTCATGATTCTCACATGTGGATAGCTAACCTTCACACACTCATGCTCATGACTAGTTCTTTGATGATATTCCAGTCATTTAGATCTTTCTTTGCTGACTGTCCCATATCAAATTTGGTATGCCCATCCTCTCTTGACATTATCATCATGCTTTAACCATCTGCTATGCAGTGACGCTTCTGGGAAGCCGCGTTGTATATGCCTAAACCATCTCAGACGATGCTGGACAAATTTCACTTCAATTGATGCTACCCAAACTCTATCACATATATCATCATCCCAGAGTCGATCCTATCTTATGTGGCCACATATCTGCATCTCTATTACATATCACTATTGGACATGACGCCTTTTAGTTGGTCAACACTCAGCATCATACAACATCATAGGTCGAATCATCGTCCTATAAAGCATGTTTTAGCTTGGCATTCTCTTGTCACAGAGGATGCCAGAAGCTTGGTCCACTTCATCCACCCAACTTTGAATGGATGGCTCACATCTTCATCGATATCATCGTCTTTTTGCAGTATTTACCCCAAATATTGAGAGGTTTATCTTTACAACTCTAACTTTCTATTAACCCTCGTCTAATGATAGCACCACACATCCGCATTCAACATACACCATGTGATAAGGTTTGCATATCCATTGTGACCTCATCCATCACAGAAGCAAAAAAGATAAGGACTCAAAGTTAACCCTTGATGCAAACCTATTTTAATAGGAAATTCATTTATGTTGCCATCACTTGTTTCATATGGGGCCTAAAATTCTCTAGAACTCCTTTGTTCCAAACAGAGCCTTACGATCACTATTAGTGAGGTGCCTTCCGTGATTTTTGTAGCATTTAGCGATTTATGTGTTGTACCTGTATTTTAGGGCTGCAACGTTTATTCAGTGGGAGGAGACGTTTCCGTCGACGACGAAGTCGCGTGTGGTGACTTCGTTAATCTAAAAGTGTTGTGTCGACTCAGTATATTGAAGGTGCTCATAGGGATAAGATGTGCGTGCGACCATGCGTGCGTTCATAAGGATGAGTGTAGGTGAGCATCTGCATTTGTAATGTGTTATAAAAAAGGGTTGTATCCGTTTTTCCAAAAGTTCGGTGGGGAAGATGGCATTTGCGAACATCTTGCATGTCATTTTTTTAGAACGCATGCCATTTTTACATGATAGTCTCTCTTAGGAAGGAAAAAATACGGCAAAAAGGTCAAAAACTATCATAAAAAAGCGTTTGTTATGACTTGAAATTGCCAGACAAACCCGTTCGCTTGCCATCCAGCCCCAGCGACCGTTCGCGAGGTAGCTTCTTTTTAGGGGTGTTCACGAGTTAGTTTTTTTCTTTGGTTTTTTAGATAAGTCTGCGAGTTATTTTTCCCGTAAAATAAAACAAAACAATGAAGTACTCTGGGCTTGCCATCACTTGTTTCATACGGGGCCTAAAATTCCTCTAGAATTCCTTTGTTCCAAATGGAGCCTTATGATCACTATTAGTGTGGTGCCTTCCGTAATTTTTTCAGTATTAGCGACTTATGTGTTGTACTTGTATTTTAGAATTGTGATGTTTATTCAGTGAGAGGAGACGTTTTTGTCGACTACAAAGACGCTGCAGTGACTTCGTTAATCTAAAAATGTTATGTCGACTTAGTATCTTGGAGATGCTCATAAGGATAAGGTGTGCATGTGTGCGTTTATAAACATGAGTGTATATGAGCATCTGCATTTATAATGTGTTATAAAAAAGGGGTTGTATCCGGTTTTCTAAAAGTCTGATCGGGAGGATGACATTTACGAACATCTTACCTGTCATTTTTGTTAGAATGCATGGCCGTTTTCTTAGGGGCACGTGACAGTCTCTGTTAGGAAGGAAAAAATACGGAAGGAACAATCATAAACTGCCATAAAAAGGAAAATGATTATCATCCACTGACGGATTGCTCCCAAACGTCAACCGTCTTCATCGTCTACCATGTGTACATGTGCCCACGTCGGTTGTCCACCTTTCTTTTCCTAGAAACACCACAATCCTATTGCTCTCGTCTCACCCGAGAACAGTTGCTGGGCGTCGGCTCGCACGGGCATCGGTTGTAAAAGACTATAAATTTCTGCAACCAGACCTCTATTGCAGAATAATTCTGCAACACAACCTTTATTGCAAAAAAAAAAATCTGCAAATTTCCTGACTTTTGTAACAAGATTTTTGTCACAAAAATTTCTGCGACAAGACCTCTGTTGCAAGGAAAAAAAAACCTTGTAATAAGACCTTTGTTGTAAAAAAAACTACAACTAGACCTATGTTGTAAAAATTTCTGCAACATCACCAATGCTGCAAAAGTCTTCCGCAACATCATCTATGTTACAAAAAAATGTAGATGAAAAAAAAAACTACAACACAACCCTTGTTCGCTCGTACTACACGCGTCCCATGTGACATGTGCCCCTAACTCCTCATGGCTCCCCTCAATTTTTTCTGCAACAACACCAATGTTGCAGAAGTTTCTCCTGAAACATAAGCTATGTTGCAAAAGAGTGAAGACAAATTTTTTCAACAAACCTCCGTTGTAAAAAAGTCTTGCAACATGACCTCATTTGCAAAAAAGTTCTACAACACGACGTCTTTTAGAAAGGTAAATAGCGGTTATGACGTTTGCAACAAGCATTCTGTTGCGGAGCTTGTTGTGCAACACCGCTCTTGTTGTAAAAGGGAGATGACCCTCGTGGATGGGTAGATCCAATGGACATCCCCGCGTCCATCCAACAGCCAGCGAGGCGGCATATATTTTCTAGTTATCCGCCGTGGCGTTCGTTATGACTTGAAACTGCCAGACAAACCCGTTCACTTGCCATCCAGCCCCAGCGACCGTTCGTGAGGTAGTATTTTTTTCTAGGGGTGTTCACGAGTTAGCTTTCCCGTAAAATAAAGCAAAACGACGAAGCACTCTGGGCCTGGGCTTGTGCCGAAATTCAACCGAAAGCGAGATAGAAAAGCCCAACGAAGCCCAAGGCTTGTCGTGCGGTGTTGCTGTCGGAATCGCTTTCTGGAGAAGTAAACGGAAGCAAATCAAATCGAATTTCAATCCAATGCGCAGACATCTCTACACCTCTTCCCTGTGGGAGGCGGAGGCGGAGGCGGTGCCGGAGCGGCCGGCCCCAGGACTATATTAGGAGGAGGAAGCGGCGGCGAAGGTTCTTGTTCCGCCCGCTGCTTCTCCCTGGATTCGATCTATTGATACGCGCTTCCGGCGGCCCGCAGGTTCGCGTCGCTCCCGATCCCCTTTCCGCGAGTGGTTCCAAACCCTTGTTCGATTCGTTTCTCAGATCTTAATCTTCTAGGGCTATTCCAGACCGATCCTCATGGCCGGCTGGACCGATTCTGGCGGCAGCCGGGGGCGAGGAGGAGGAGGAGGCGGCGGCGGCTTCTCAAACCGCGGCGGCGGCAACGCCAACAACACCACCATGTGGAGAGAGAGAACGCCACCGCAGCCGCAGCCTCAGCCGCCGCCGCAGCCTCAGCCGCCGCCGCAGCCTCAGCCGCCGCCGCAGCAACAGCAACAGCAACAGCATCACCACCAACAACAGCACCATCAGCAACAGCAACAGCATCACCACCAACAACAGCACCATCAGCAGCAGCAGCAGCATCGCTACCGTCCTGTCAACCACAATGACCACTCCTCGCAGCACCCGCGCCACCCACCGGCGGGGGAGCTGGACCGACACCAAGGGCAGGGAGGCTCCTCCACTTCCACCCGGCGCCCGCGGCCAACTCGTCCACCACAGCCTCGCCCCACCTTCACAGACCACAAGCCGTCTCCTACCTCCACACCCAATGCCAACGAACCGGACGACAAGGCCAGGTGCAATGCTGCCAATTTCGAGTGCAACGTCTGCTTTGACATGGCAGACGACCCCGTAGTCACCAAGTGCGGCCATCTCTTCTGCTGGGACTGCCTCTACCAGTGGCTCCATGTCCACTCCAACCACCGCGAGTGCCCTGTCTGCAAGGGCCAGGTCGCTGACGATGCCATTATACCCATCTATGGACGTGGCGGCTCTGCAGCGTCTGTTCACGCCGCACCGCCGAGGCCCACTGGGGCCAGAGTTGAAAGCTCCAGACAGCAGCAGCTGCAGCAGTTTGCTGCTTCCAACTTGAATATGATGATGGACGAAGATGATGAAGACGACGACCCCTTTCTCGAGGAGATTAGTCTTCGTTTTGGAGTTAATTCGCTGAGAGGTGGTATGATGATCATACCCGATGATGACATCGAACAAGATTATGATGACTACACTGATCCCTACCTCCACCGCAACTTTGATGAGGTATATGGCCTTGATTTAATGCGACTCCCATTGTTTAGATCTGCTGACGCCGCTGAAGCCGTGATTGGCTCTTCCCGGCGACATGGTCATCATAGTGTTTTTTCTGATGACATTATGGATACATTCTTTGACAACACAACCCATCAGGAGCCAGATTTTGGTTACCGCGGTGGTCGGCGTCAGCGCGGGAGAGCAAGAGGAACAACATCTGCAGATCATTTCAACGATCACATCGTTGGCATGGTGTTGGGGAGTAGCTTGAGGATCGAGGACAGCAGCGGTGCATCTTACCGTGACACCGGTGCTGGTCCTCATCATCATATTAATAATACAGGTGGTTCCTCTCGGCCTAATGGTGGATGGGAGAGAAGAGGAAGAAGCAACCGTAATTCGAATTCCGGTGGTGGAAGAGGAACGCAGAATAGCAGGAGGCAAGGAGCAAATTACAATTGATCATGGCCTGAAAGTGGCAATCAAATAAATCCAGCCTTGAATTATTCTTTCTTCTGATTCTCTGTTCTGTTACTTTTGTAGTCGCCCCATCTGGGCACCTTGATAAGCATATATTTGACTATTGGGGTGAATGTTTCTTCTCGTTGATGCAATTAACATTACATGTGGTTATATACTCTTTGCCATTGCTTGCTATATCACTTCATGGTATGATTCTATTGATGCTATAGATAATTTGATTGGAAGTACTTGGCAGAAGGTGGTCATGCTGTTGATCCTATGTAAATGGTAGTAGTTTGATTCCTGCTTGTTGGGTAGAATTAGGAAGTAGTATGACCAGGACATGTCTCTGGAAGAAGAGTAGGACTATATAGCAAGATGGCAAGAAACTTACAAGAACTCGGCCTAGTTCCAACAAACAGACTCAAAGCCAACTACTGTCTAAACTATCACTATCCATCTCTTTGGCAAACTTCCAGAGCTGAAATTCAGAAAAATGAGATTGGCCAATTCAGGCTCCTTCGCCTGGAGCGCCAGATTTCTGAAAACCGGGCACCGTGCCGTTTCCATACGCTCCAGGCGATTAAGATAATCAGAGTGTCAAACTCCCTCCCTCTTGCTGCACTTGGGAATCAGGTTTCTAGCGTGCAGCCACCAGGGTCCTAGACTGTCAACAGGGAAGAAGTTCTGTTCTGAAGACATGGTACCAAACCTGTTGAGATCTTGCAGACAGAGATAACAGGAAGCCATGTCATCTTGAAGGCTATGCTGGACTCTGTGATCCAGATCCTGTACTGAATGCCAAGCGAAAGTTTTGCAAGTGTTGGAAAAGGGGATAGCCACGACCTCTGCATCAAGCGATGAATACCATCCCTCCAGATGCAATTAGCAGTACTGAATCTAATCTGTCCGGGCGAAATCCCTGGCCGGCCGCATCCGCGGCGATGCCCGAGGGCGCCGTGTTCCTCCTTGGAGACGTCTGACAGGTCTAATCCCCTACTCCGCACTCCCCCCTTCCCCCTGTTCTCCCGGGTGAAAGCCCTAACTTTGTTGGGCGGAGGCGGCACCGGCGCCCTCGGCGTCGTATTCTTCTTGAAGACGCCGTTTTGGGAGGTGCTCGTCGGTGGGCGCTGTTGGGGTGCGGGTGGTGGCGTCGGTGGTGCCCTCTGTCCTAGTTGCTGCTTTTCCTCCTCTGGTTGCTGGATGTGGGGAGCGGTGGTGTTCTGCTTGAGGAGAAGCGCCGGTAGCTCGGCTTGGGTGCGCTGACCCACTGTATGTGGCCATTTTCCGGAGGCATCCACCATTGTTCTTGGGGAACTTTATCATCTCGCGACGGTACGGCACTTTCGATCTAGGCGAGGAGGTTGTGGCCTCCTTCGGAGATGGATGTTGTTGGATGTGCCGTGCCGGGGTCTGTAGTAGTTTGGTGATGGCGTTCCCCGATGGTGCGGGTCTGCCTTTCTCCTCTTGAGCCGCGTGTTCTTGTTCTCGGCGCTTTGTTCACGGAGGAGGACCTCGGCGTCTACGACTTCATGCTTCATTGCTGCTTTCCAGCGCCTTTGTATATTTCCGCTCTGTGTTTTCTTTCTCGCTGCCTATGGGTGTATGCTTGAAACCCTGGCCGGTTGATTGCTTTATTAATTCAAAGCCGAGCTAGGCTCAAGCCCTATCTCGAGCCTTCTCTCTAAAAATCTAATCTGTCCTTGGCACAACAGCTTGTAGACAGAGATACTCTGTAAGAACCAGTTGGGCGGCTCCAGCGCCAAGAGAACTTGCAATCCTCACCTGCATTCCTGCTAGTGCTGTAGACCGCATCCCAAAGCCGATCGAACATACTATTCCTGGACAAGGCCAGCGGTGGAATGAGGGCTACCAGCAATGTCCAATCGAATCATCAAATGTACAACAAGGAGATTGTGCAGTGCTTCTCGAATGAACTCAAACGATCGACTAGGAAATACTCCTTATTGTCCCAGGCTAGGAGTATATAGTAAACAAAAGGAAATACTATATGGCTAGAACTCGAACGAAAGCTTCAGTGAACTAGTAGTAGAAGGACTAAAGGAGCTAGCTAGGAGGGGGCGCCGCGGTTCAGTTGTCGTCGCCGTAGGCGAGGAAGCGGTAGCGCTCCTCGTAGGGCCCGTCGAAGTGGAGGTCCGCCTCCAGCCACTTGGGGTACCGGACCAGGTCGCCGGCCACGAAGTGCATGTACTCCTCGCCGGTGGTGGCCCCGGCGGGGAGCACGCGGACCTCGCCGGCGACGATGTACACGAGCTGGTCCACCTGCCAGTCCCAGGCCAGGTGGCAGCGGCCCCCCGTGCGCCACGTCGACCACGTCTCCATCGCCCGCAGCGCCTCCACCCGCTCCTGCGCCGCCGCGCCGCGCACCACGCGCACCTTGTACACGTCCTCCACGGGGCGCCGGCCCAGCACCCGCCCGTCTGTCGCTGCTGCTGCTGCTGCCCCCGCCGCCGCCGCTAAGCCGCACCTCCTCCTCCTGCTGCTAGCGGCAGCGCCGGTCACGGGGATGCTGACCGAGATGGGAATTTGGGGGAGGTGGGCGAGATGGCATCCCGCCCAGGCCGTTCCTGCTGCCATCTCTCTTGCTCACGCTGACTGCTACGCTCTCGTCTCGCTTTGCCTGCTTCCTTTACCTTATCCTCCCTCCCTCCTCGCTCGGCTATGGACGGGGCATATATTTACGTCTTTACCAGTCTCCAATTAGTTATTTAGTGCCTTGGGGTTGGGGGTGTAACACGGAGTTAGTTGGCGAACGTTCGCTAGGCGGATGGCAATCACGAACAATTAGCTGTAGGAGGGTGACAATTTCTGGAGACTAGCATGTCACTGTAGTGAATGCATTTTTTTAGAAAAAATTGCAACGGCTGCGATCTGGGAGTTCCTTCTTAGTTACCCTTCAAAGGAATTTTACATTGTCTTTTTTTTTCGGGAAAAACTTCCAATCTATTTATCTTTAATTATGATAGTACAACGAACACTAGAAATAATAAAAATTACATCCAGATCCGTAGACCACCTAGCGACGACTACAAGCACTGAAGCGAGCTGAAGGCGCGCCGCTGTCATCGCCCCTCCCTCGCCGGAGCCGGGCAAATCTTGTTGCAGTAGACAGTCGGAAAGTCGTCGTGCTAAGACCCCGTAGAACCAACGCACCAGATCAGCAACCGCCGCGGATGAAGAGTGTAGATCAAAAGGATCCAATCTGAAAACACACGAACAAAAACGAACGACGAACAGATCCGAGCAAATTCAACAAAGACAGATCCGCCGGAGACACAACTCCACACACCCACCAACAATGCAAGATGCATCACCGGAACGGGGCTAGGCGGGAAGACCTTTATTCCATCTTCAGGGAGCCGCCACCATCTCGCCTTCCTGAGCAGGACACAAACCCTAATAAAGCTCGAAAAAAGATCTAAAAATGGAGCCCTCCCACCGGCAAGGGCCGAGATCCACTCCGCCTCCATGGCTATAGGGCCACCGGAGACGGGATGGCCCGGCGCCGGCGCCGGTGGGAGGCAGAAAGCTAGGTTTTTTGGAGGCGGCGGCTAGTGATACAAAAGCTCACGCATAGGTTCAGGCACAAGTCCGAACCAGACAATATTCACACTCTGATTTCTACTCCCTCCGTCCCATAATGCAGGACTTTTTTTTGAAACTACTAGCAAAGCTAGATGATGAGCTGCAGTATCGCACTCTCTTCTTATATTTCTGATAAGAAAATCATCTTGGTTCTTCAAGGGCTTGATTTCTTCAGATATTCTCCGCAACTTTTCTTAAATACATCTATTTGTTTCTGCTGACTCCAACAACAACAACAGCAACAACATTACCCAACTCCAAAATAGTAGGGGTCCGAGGAATATCATTCACAATTTTCATACCTAGTACTCCCTTCGTCCCAAAAGCTTGAGATACTTATTTCGGGACGGAGGGAGTACAACACAGACCCTTTGCTTCAGCTTCTTCGACATGGATTTGAAGCAGCTAACGCCACCACGTCCACAACACCACCAATCCAAGAAAAGCATCCCATAATTTTCCATTTTTAGCGTTGGCATTCTAGCTAGTCATTCCCAACAAACGAACAAAGTAGAGTAAATACTGTGATTTCTTCAGACTAAACCACAAATATGAGCGTGTCATGCCATCAGTAGAAACATCAGTATTTACATCCCACAATCCTAGAGTAGAACAGAATAGATATGCGCTTCTAACCAGGAGGAGCACCCCCTCTTCAGAAATGCATCTCCTCTTGCGAATCATTCATACTACAACAAATCTGTCGACCACATCAAAGGGCAGCCACAGGGCAGACACAAAAAGGAAAAATGAGGTGCCAAGAAACACAGACGAGCCATCCCTGTTACTCTTTACGCCGATGTCGAAGCTAACCGCCCTGTAGCTCGCATTTCATCCAGAGTCGTCGCTAGCCAGTCCAAGCCTTCGTACAGGCCATCGCCTTTAAGAGCACATGTGCCTTGGATGTGCCAGATGCGGTTGTTCAGGTCATACAGACCAAGACCCTCACATACTTCCATCGGGGTCATTGCTCCCCTCTGCATTCACAAGACACACAGGCACTACATGATTAAGCATACAAGGAGTGAAAATAAACCTGTTTTCTAAGGCAGAATAAACTCTTCCTTTTCACAAGTAAAACTGAAAATATCAACAAAAGGCTACTTCAGCCCTACATAAATGCAGCATGTCCATATATGTAAACAATGTAAATCCCCTACAATCTGCAAACTCTTTATATATGCACGCAAGAAGCAAGTCCAAAACAACCAGTCTTAAGGCAGAGAATTATAATCTACTAGTATTCTACACAAACCACACCATCTTGAACAAGTGCACGTGATACCAAAAGAAACCATGACAAGCATACCATGTCTTGCTTGTTAGCAAACACCAATAATACACTGTTGAGCATAAATGGGTCATTGATTATGGCCTGCAAGAGATAATAGATTACAGTAAGTTAGAGCACATATCACAACAGATATTACCACAGAAACAGGAACAGGTTCTCGATAAGAAATGCCATAAACCTGAAATTCAGCCCTGGCTCTTCCAATTCTATCCCTGTCGAGGGAATCGACCACATAGATCTGCAAGTTAACAAACGCAACAGAGAAAGCTTACATCTCAAGAAAGCAGTGTCATATCACAAATCACTATGCCCCATCAATAAATCAAAGGCGAGTTCTAGCATGATCCACAAAGACGAAGGTCCTAGGCTAGGTAGGGAGATGTGCAGTAACATCCAGACACTTATCCTGTTTGGCTAACAATTCTACCATGTCTGTTTTTGGTGCCTCAGCAGCTAAGAGCACTAACGTATGCAAATATCCACAGTAGATAAGCTAATTGACCATCTTTCCTGGTGACTGCTACTGAACTTGTTCATAAATCAGATGCGCACAAAAGAGAAGCAAGTAAAGAATGAAACAACTAACTGGAGGAAAGGAACTTATAGCTTCAGTAGTCCTATATGTTCCTATGTTGAATCGCTACTTAAAATACAACGAAACAACAAGCAAGCATATGGAATGAGAGTAATGACCAGAGCATCCGTGTTGTTGAAGTAGTGCCTCCACAAGGGCCTCAATTTCTCCTGGCCGCCCACATCCCACACAGTGAACACTACATTCTTGTACTGAACCTTCTCAACATTGAAACCTGCCCACGAATGGATTAACTAGCAAAGTAGTTCAAGGGCTTCGTGTTTAGTCGTATGAAAGCACACTGCACGAGCCCAAAATTAGTTAATAAGTAAAGAGATAGGCAGGCAGGTATGTTGTACCAATGGTGGGGACGGTGGAGAGTACTTCGCCAATGTGTAGCTTGTAGAGTATGGTGGTTTTACCGGCTGCATCCAACCCAAGCATCACCACCTAGCATAAGGCAACAGGCCGTTCCATTAGAATCGAGGAGCACAACGAATTAGCTTGGATCTTCGTGCCCTCTGAGTATCTCTGATGGTACATGGATGGTATGCATACATAGTGCGATGAAAATAGCAACTAACATGACAGAAAAGCAGCTAGTAAGAAAGCGAGCATCATCAGATCACATGGTTGAGATGTAAAATCTGCTAGCTCCTCAGTTGTATGTATTCATCAGGATGAAAACAAATCAAATCAGACAGAATCATATGAAACTAATAGTAAATCAAAGGAGGAGCGGATCGATATGTGCTCTGATCGAAGGTCGACCGATCCATTCGCCCAACAAACTAATTAGGAGAAGAGAGGAGAGAAGAGGGCGCACCCGCATCTCCTTGTTGCCAAAGAAGGCATCGAAGAGCTTGCGAAAGGCCTGGCCCATCTCCCTCCCTCCTTGGATCAGGAGAATCTGGCCGGCTGGTCGGCCGCCGAAGAGGATGGGAATGGACCGGCTTCTGGAAGTTTCTGCTGCGTGTGTGAGGTTCGGGGTAGGATCGATCGGCCCCGCCCCTGCCTGCCTGCCTTGCTTCCTCTGGTCGAAGTCGGAGCCGGAGACGACGGGGGAGGAGGAGGAGGAGGTGGAGATGCTGAGCTCACTGGCGTTGGGGGGTGGTAGCGGATGCCCAAGGAATAATCTGGGCCGTCTACTTTTACGTGGGCCCCAACGACCATGTGAGCGGGTTGCAGTTAGGTTAGGTCGGGTTAAGCTGTTTTTTTTTGCAACTGGGTTGGAGAAGTATCACCTTTTTCTTTAACTGATTCTAAAAATACTCCCTCCGTTCCGAATTACTTGTCTTGAATTTGTCTAGATATGAAGGTATCTAGCACTAAAATGAGTCTAGATACATCCGTATCTAGACAAATCCAAAACAAGTAATTCGGAACGGAGGGAGTATATATTATTTTGACAACCTAAAAGAAAAGGCCAATTCTTTATTCTGAAATAGAAAGAGCTTTATGTATAATTATGCATAACCAATTCCGCAGGTAGGACGAGAATTGAGAGTAGCTCAGGTGGTTAGGTTCCTTACGGTGAAACCAGTCCACCAAGTTTAAAGTCCTAAACTTCGACACTGGTGCTCGTATTTTCATGTATTTATTAGAGACTTTCTCGTGATGTTAGGAGGAGACGTTCCCGTCGACTACGAAGACAGGTGTGCACGTGTGTGTTCTTAAGAGTAAGTGTATCTATGTGTATGTGGGCTTCTACATTTGTACCGTGTTAAAAAATTGCACGCAGGACAAAATGAGCTTTGTGTAACTTTAATTTACACCAAATTAGCTTTTTTGCTCATAAAAGGTTTTCATTAATTAAACAGAGTCATTACTGCCCTGTCGACAAAGGATGTCAACCTCCTCAGGAGCACTACGAAGCCATACAGCGGTTTGGGCAATAACCACCCCCTCCTTCTGGGTGAGTGTGTGGCTAGCTTTGTTTTGCTCCCGTTTAATCAATGTTATCTCACGCTATGGGCCTGCAATGAGCTGCCGGATATCTCCAACCATTGCAACCACCAAAGACCTATTGGCCTTGGAGTCATTGTTCATGTGGGCCACCGAAGAGCAGCCCGTCTTCACGATGAGTCTGTTTGGACTCAGCTCAAGGGCCAGAGTCACTCCCTCCATTAGCACCGCCATCTCCACCTCAAGGGCGCTCATACATATGTGAATGAAGCGACAAGATGAGTAAATGAAAACACTTGCGTGATCTCGGAGTATCATTCCAACACCTCCTGTGCTCTCCTCTTCCTTCCATGCACTGTCCATGTTCAGATTTACCCAACTGAATGGTGGCTTTCATCATCGCTCAAGAGGTCGTGTGCTTGCAGTCATCATTTTACAGAGCCAAACTAGTTATATACCTGTGTGTTAGCACGGAAAAATGGAACCTTCAATAAAAATGTTCATCCAAATCAAACAAACTCCAATGACAAATTTTATCTCCCTCGCCCTCATGCAGAAGCCTCAATTCATCCAACATTCAACGTAGCTCTCATGTGCAGTGTCTATCAAATGATAAATGTCGGTATTTCCCCAAAGAGGAAGGGGTGATGCAGTACAACTACGGTAGGTATTTCTCTTAGTTATGAAACCAAGGTTATCAATCCAGTAGGAGAATCAAGCAACACTATGTAAACGGTACCTGCACACAAAGAACAAATACTTGCAACCCGACGCGTAAGAGGGGTTGTCAATCCCTCCACGGTAAAAAGATAGACTAAATTGTATGAGATTGGATAAATAGATCTAGCAAGAACACAAAATAAAGTAAGTAAAGAAAAAGTACAACAAGGTATTTTGGGGGTTTTGGAAATATAGATCTGAAAACAATATGATAAAAGATAGACCCGGGGCCGTAGATTTCACTAGTGGCTTCTCTCAAGAAAATAGCGTACGATGGGTAAACAAATTATTGTTGGGAAATTGATAGAAGATCAAATAATTGTGAAGATATCTAAGGCAATGATCATGTATATAGGCATCACGTCAAATATTAGTAGACCGACTTCTGCCTGCATCTACTACTATTACTCCACACATCGATCGTTATCCAGCATGCTCTAGTGTATTAAGTTCATGGAGAAACAGAGTAATGCAATAAGAACGATGACATGATGTAGACAAGATCTATTCATGTAGGAATAGACCCTATCTTTTTATCCTTAATAGCAACGATACATACATGCCTCGCTACCCCTTATGTCATTGGGTAAGGATACCGCAAGATCGAACCCATCACAAAGCACCTCTTCCCATTGCAATAAAAAATTGATCTAGCCGGCCTAACTAAACCAAAGATTCAGAGAAGAAACACGAGGCTATAATAATCATGCATATAATCGATCAAATAAAACTCAAATAATATTCATGGATTTAGATCTGATCATAAACTCAAACTTCATCGGATCCCAACAAACACACCGCAAAAAGTCATTACATCAAATAGATCTCCAAGAACAACGAGGAGAACATTGTATTGAGAATCAAAAAGAGAGAAAAAGCCATCTAGCTACTGCCTACAGACCCGTAGGCCTATGGTGAACTACTCATGCATCATCAGAGGAGCACCAATGAGGATGATGAACCCCTCCGTGATCGTGTTCCCCTCCGGTAGAGTGCCGAAATAGGGCTCTAGATTGAATCTCGTGGTTCTGGAACTTGCAGTGGCTGGAATTGTGTTTCGTCGACTCCTCTAGGGTTTCTGGAATATTTGGGTATTTATAGAGTCGAGAGGCGGTGGAGGAGACGTACCCCTGTGGCCCCACAACCCATCAGGGCGCGCCTGGGCCTCCTGGCGTGCCCTGATGTCTTGTGGGCCCCACAGACCTCCCCTCTGGTGCTTCCTTGGCTCCCAAGTTGTCTTCTGGTCCCAAAAAATCTCCAAAAAGTTTTGCTACATTTGGACTCTGTTTGGTACCGATATTCTGCGAAGTAAAAAACAAGCAAAAAGCAACAACTGGCACTTGGCACTATGTCAATAGGTTAGTCCCAAAAAATGATATAAAGTTGCTATAAAATGATTATAAAACATCCAAGAATGATAATATAACAACATGGAACAATCAAAAATTATAGATACGTTGGAGACGTATCAGCATCCCTAAGCTTAATTATTGCTCGTCCTCGAGTAGGTAATGATAAAAACAGAATTTTTGAAGTGGAATGTTGCCTAACCTGTTCATCACATATTATTTTCTTTTGTAGCATGGACATTTGGACTTTTAGATGGTTCAAAGCAATAGTCCATATTTGACATGAAGACTTCAATACTCAAGCATATCAACAAGCAACCATATCTTTCAAAATATCAACACTAAAGAAGTTATCCCTAGCCCATCATGCTCAATCATTGATCCATTCACGAAACACACTTGAGTATTAGCTACATCCAATGCACAAGTGTTGTCATAGTGCTCCCTAGTTGGTGCTTTATAAGAGAAGATGGAGACTCAAATAAAAATAAAAATTGCATAAAATAAATAGATAGGCCCTCCACAGAGGGAAGTAGAGATTTGTAGATGTGCCAGAGCTCAAAGCAAACATTTAGAGATAAATATTTTGAGAGGCATGCTTTTCCTGTGAACGAAAACGACTGAGTAGTTCCCAGTACTTTTCATGCTAGATACATCATAGGCGGTTCCCAAATAGAAAATAAAGTTTATTTCTTTTCCCACCATTCTTTCACAATCCATGGCTAGCTGTATCCACGGGTGCCTTCCATACCAACACTTTCCAAGGAATTTATTATTGAACGACATAAATATATTTTTTGCATTTCGGGACTGGGCATCCCTATTACCTTTGCCACACTCTTGTGCAATGGTAAGTGAATAAACACTCATCTTGAGAATAACACATCTAGCATGAAAAATATTGGCCACACAAAAAGGAATTTTATTTTGAAAATTAGAGTTGGCACATACAAATTTACTTGGAACAACACGAAAATACCGCATATAGGTAGGTATGGTGGACTCATATGGCAAAACTCGGTTTAAGGATTTGGGATGCATAAGTATTATTCCCACTTAGTAGAAATGAAGGCTAGCAAATAGATTGAGAAGCAACCAACCAAGAAACAATAATTCTCATAAACCAACGTTAAGCATAATTAACACCGAATAATGCACCACAAGTAGGATGTAATTTCATTGCATAATTATTGACTTTCGTGCTTGCATAGGGAACCACAAACCTTAACACCAATATTCTTACTAAAGCACAATTACTCACCAACATGACTCACATATTACTATCTCCATATCTCAAAACTATTGCAAGGAATCAAACTTATCATATCCAATGATCTACATGAAAGTTTTTATTATATCCTTCTTGAATATTAATCATATTAGGAGTGATGGGCACATGCTTCTCCGTACTGATTCGTATGGAATTAGCCCGACCCGGCGATCAAATTCTTGGTGGGAATCATCAACTTTATAATGTTTTAATAGCGGCTCACGCTTTTTAATGATCTTTTTTATGGTTATGCTGGCGATGATAGGTGGATTTGGTAATTGATTTGTTCCGATTCTGATAGGTGCACCTGACATGGCATTTCCATGATTAAATAATATATCATTCTAGTTGTTGCCACCAAGTCTCTTGATCTTATTAAGCTCATCCTTAGTAGAAGTGGGCAGCGACACTGGGTGGATAGTTTATCCGCCCTTAAGTGGTATTACCAGCCATTCTGGAGGAGCTGTTGATTTAGCAATTTTTAGTCTTCATCTATGAGGTATTTCATCAATTTTAGGTTCTATAAATTTTATAACAACTATCTTCAACATGCGTGGACCTGGAATGACTATGCATAGATTACCACTTTTTGTGTGGTCCGTTCTAGTGACAGCATTCCTACTTTTATTATCACTTTCGGTATTGGCGGGGGCAATTACAATGTTACTAATCGATCGAAACTTTAATACAACCTTTTTTGATCCCGCGGGAGGGGGAGACCCAATATTATACCAGCATCTCTTTTGGTTCTTCGGTCATCCAGAGGTGTATATTCTCATTCTGCCCGGATTTGGTATTATTAATCATATCATATTGACCTTTTCAAGAAAACCGGTCTTCGGGTATCTAGGCATGGTTTATGCCATGATAAGTATAGGTGTTCTTGGATTTATAGTTTGGGCTCATCATATGTTTACTGTGGGCTTAGATGTTGATATGCGTGCCTACTTCACCGCAGCTACCATGATCGTAGTTGTGCCCACAGGAATCAAAATCTTTAGTTGGATCGCTACCATGTGGGGAGGTTCGATACAATACAAAACACACATGTTATTTGCTGTAGGGTTCATCTTTTTGTTCACCATAGGAGGGCTCACTGGAATAGTTCTAGCGAACTCTGGGCTAGACATTGCTCTACATGATATTTATTATGTGGTTGCACATTTCCATTATGTACTTTCTATGGGAGCCATTTTTGCTTTATTTGCTGGATTTTACTATTGGGTGGGTAAAATCTTTGGTCGTACATATACTGAAACTTTAGGCCAAATCCATTCTTGGATCACTTTTTCGGGGTTAATCTGACCTTCTTTCCCATGCATTTCTTAGGGCTTTCGGGTATGCCACGTCACATTCCAGATTATCCAGATGCTTACGCCTGATGAAATGCTCTGAGCAGTTTCGATTCTTATATATTCGTAGTTGGGATTCCTCGTTTCTTTGTAGTTGTCGCAATCACTTCAAGTAGTGGAAAGAACCAAAAATGTGCGGAAAATCCTTGGGTTGTTGAACAGAATCCAGCCACACTAGAATGGTTGGTACAAAGCCCTCCGGCCTTTCATACTTTTGGGGAACTTCCTGCGATAAAAGAGACAAAAAGCTAAAAAAAACCTCTCCTAACTATGAAGGAAGTTTCATAGAGATAGGTGTGGGGAAATAAGTTATTCATTTGAAGAGTTAGTTGGCTGGCCTACCGGCCCGCAGATTAGGTTGGCTTTTATCGTCAAGTGAACTATGTAACCAAAGCGATTCCTTCTTGGTGGAGATAGGTGGGTCCTGGTCCAACCTAAGTCACTTTGAACCTGACGGGTCATTCGTTCGTGTGGAGAATTTCTCTCCTTACTTAGGATTTCATTATCTTCGAGGCTAGGCATATTCATATGTCGAAGAAGGGGGAAGTGTCTCCATTTACGCTCATAGAACCTGGAAAAAAGAATATACCGTCGTTTAAGGACCAAGGATGCGATGTGAGAAGCATAGGTCGGAGTAGCAGGAGTATGCAACAAGCAGTTGCATGTTTGATGTGGGTCTGTAACGAGATGAATTATAATACTTGGAATCCTCGCGGTATAGCTGCCACGAGGGCTCTTTCCCACTTAATAGATTCATTCCTTCGTTACAGCGGTTGAGGGTACTTGTCGTTCAGAGATGCTATCAGAGTAGGAAAGTTAGCCAAGTTATCCTGCCTAGTTTAGATAAAGCACCCTGATCATACCAGATGCAACCCGATCATATACTACTTGTGAATCCAAAATCCTTAAACCCAGTTTTGCCATATGAGTCCACCATACCTACCTATATGCGGTATTTCCGTGCCGTTCCAAGTAAATTTGTATGTGCCAGCTCTAATTTTCAAAACAAATTTCCTTTTTGTGTGCTCGTACCACTCATGAAGCGACGGGGGGTGGCCAATATTTTTCATGCTAGATGCATTATTCTCAAGATGAGTGTTTATTCAATTGTCATTGCGCGAGAGTGTGGCAAAGGTAATAGGGATGCCCAGTCCCAAAATGCAAAAAAATATTTATGTTGTTCAATAATAAATTACTTGGAAAATGTTGGTATGGAAGGCACCCGTGGATACGGCTAGCCATGGATTGTGAAAGAATGATGGAAAAAGGAATAAACTTTATTTTCTGTTTGGGAACCGCCTATGATGTATCTAGCATGGAAAGTACTAGGAACTACTCGGTCGTTTTCGTTGACAGGAAAAGCATGCCTCTCAAAAATTTTATCTCTCAATTTTTGCTTTGAACTCTGGTACCCCTACAAATCTCTACTTCCGTCTGCGAAGGGCCTACCTATTTATTTTATGTAATTTTTATTTTTATTTGAGTCTCCATCTTCTCTTATAAAGCATCAACTAGGGAGCACTATGATCACACTTGTGCATTGGATGTAGCTAATGTTCAAGTGTGTTTTGTGAATAGATCAATGATTGAGCATGATGGGCTAGGGATAACTTCCTTTAGTGTTGATATTTTGAAAGACATGGTTGCTTGTTGATATGCTTGAGTATTGAAGTCTTCGTGTCAAATATGGACTATTGCTTTGAACCATCTAAAAGTCCAAATGTCCATGCTACAAAAGAAAAGAATATGTGATGAACATGTTAGGCAGCATTCCACATCAAAAGTTCTGTTTTTATCATTTACCTACTCGAGGATGAGCATGAATTAAGCTTTGGGATGCTGATACGTCTCCAACGCATCTATAAATTTTTTATTGTTCCATGCTGTTATATTATCATTCTTAGATGTTTTACAATCATTTTATAGCAACTTTATATCATTTTTTGGGACTAACCTATTGACATAGTGCCTAGTGCCAGTTTCTGTTTTTTGCTTGTTTTTACTTCGCAGAATATCAGTACCAAATGGAGTCCAAATGCAGCGAAACTTTTTGTAGATTTTTTTGGACCAAAAGACAACTTGGGAGCCAAGGAAGCACTAGAAGGGAGGCCTGTGGGGCCCACAAGACACCAGGGCGTGCCCTAATGGGTTGTGGGGCCCACAAGTTTCTCCTCCACCGCCTCTCAGCTCTATAAATACCCAAATATTTCAGAAACCCTAGAGGAGTCGACAAAACACAATTCCAGCCGCCGCAAGTTCCAGAACCACGAGATCCAATCCAGAGTCCTATTCCGGCACTCTGTCGGAGGGGACCACGATCATGGAGGTGTTCATCATCCTCATTGGTGTTCCTCTGATGATGCGTGAGTAGTTCACCATAGACCTATAGGTCCGTAGGCAGTAGCTAGATGGCTTCTTCTCTCTTTTTGATTCTCAATACAATGTTCTCCTCGTTGTTCTTGGAGATCTATTTGATGTAATGAATTTTTGCGGTGTGTTTGTTAGGATCCGATGAAGTTCGAGTTTATGATCAGATCTACATCCATGAATACTATTTGAGTTTTCTTTGATCGATTATATGCATGATTATTTATAGCCTCGTATTTCTTCTCCGAATCTTTGGTTTAGTTAGGCTGACTAGATCGATTTTTATTGCAATGGGAAGAGGTGCTTTGTGATGGGTTCGATCTAGCGATGTCCTTACCCAATGAGAGAAGGGGTAGCGAGGCATGTATGTATCGTTGCTATTAAGGATAAAAAGATGGGGTCTATTCCTACATGAATATATCTTGTCTACATCATGTCATCGTTCTTATTGCATTACTCCATTTCTCCATGAACTTAGTACACTAGATGCATGCTGGATAGCGGTCGATGTGTGGAGTAATAGTAGTAGATGCGGGTAGAAGTCGGTCTACTAATCTTGTATGTGATGCTTATATACATGATCATTGCCTTGGATATTGTCATAATTATTTGATCTTCTATCAATTGCCCAACAGTAATTTGTTTACCCATCATACGCTATTTTCTTGAGAGAAGCCACTAGTGAAATCTATGCCCCCGGGTCTATCTTTTATCATATTGTTTTCAGATCTATATTTCCAAAACCCCAAAAATACCTTGCTACACTTTTTATTTACTTATTTTATTTTGTGTTCTTGCTAGATCTATTTATCCAATCTCTTTAATCTATCTTTTTGTCATGGAGGGATTGACAACCCCTCTTATGCGTCAGGTTGCAAGTATTTGTTCTTTGTGTGAAGGTACCATTTACATAGTGTTGCTTGGTTCTCCTACTAGACTGATACCTTGGTTTTATAACTGAGGGAAATACCTACCATAGCTGTGCTAGATCATCCCTTCCTCTTTGAGGAAATACCGACATAGTTCCAGCGACATCAACCTCACCCTTGCCGAACCACAAAGGGGATCATGGCCCCATAGGTGATCGTGCTCTCCCACGACATCTTTGGCGCACCAGGTAGGGGGGCATCACTTGCGTGAACCCGAAGTTGTGAACAACGCGTCGATATTCATCAACATCCTTTTCGTCATCATCTTCTCCATCCATGGCGCCCAAGAAGAAACCCGACGTGACCACGCAACCATCCGCTTTGAAGGCCCCCTCGCACACAGCTGTGGATGTTGTAGGCATCACAACAGTGTTGGGTGAGGCAGGTGCCGCAGGCGACACGACCGGCACAGGCGGCGCCATCGTTGTGCCCCCCGCGGCAGAAGCTAGAGCAGGAAGCGCAGAGGGCGGGCGACATCAGCAACACCCTGGCGGGCTGGATCTGGAAGCTGCAGGGGAAGGGAACTTTCAGTCTCCTCGTCCCCGTTGTACTAGCAGGCATAGTCGCAACAACGACGCCCGCTCCGGTGCGAGCCGCGATCCTCTAGTTCCGCCCACCACGGGCACGGCTACTAGGCGTGCGCCCTGCCCAGAACAAGACGGGCAGGGCGAAGCGCCAAATAGAGCCGCCGACCCCCAAGCATGGCCCACTCATCACCGGACTGCTTTGGCGCCTGGTTCACGATGGCAAGAATGCAACGATGCTCCTGCTGGTTCTTTTAGAAGTCGAGCGACATCGCAGTCTACCTTACTAGCCATGCCAAGTATGGCCGTAGAAGCAATGACGCGAGCCCAACTCCTGTTGAACTTTTCGCCAACGGCTGACAAGATGGATGAGTGGAGGGCCACCATCCAGAGTTTGATTGGCTTTGTTGAAGCCGGTAAATCACAGCATGCAGAGCCATCACAATGCCAGCGAATGGCGACGACAACCTGTGAAGTTGGTCGTTTGAGAAGGCTACACCAATGGTGCAATCCCCTCCGCGACAACAGACCAAGTGGCAGCCTCGGTGAGCTCAATGAGTCAACGAGCCCGACGAGACATTGATGGCTTCGTCTGACCCACAAACCCGTCGTGATCAGCGGCGGGTTCTAGAAGACCAGCGGAAGGAAGATGCACGAGTCACCATAGAGCGACGTTGAAAGGCACACCGTCAGTCTGACAGGCGCAATGGACCAGACGATGACGAGCCCGCGCTCAGTGCTGGCAGGTACCTACCTTTCGAGGTTGGGTGCCCTGCCTTCACTCGTGAGCTGCGGCAGGTCCGCTGGCCATCTGCCCGCGTTTTCAAGCCTGAACTACCAGAAAAATATGATGGAAAGTTAAACCCGGTAGAGTTTTTGAGCATTTATACAATTGTTGTTCAAGCCGCTGATGGCAGAGATGAGAAGGTGTTCGCCAACTATTTCCCTTTGGCTCTTAAGCCAAATGTGAGATCATGGCTGATGCACCTGCCTGAAAACTCCATTTAATCATGGGCAAACTTGTGCAATGAGTTTGTTGGCGCCTTCATAGGCAGCTACCAAGAGCCTGGACAGCCTAGTGATCTGCAGGTCCTTCCACAGAAGGAAGGAGAGGATCTGTGTTAGTACATATA